CCCCAAAACCCCAAAACCCCAAAACCCCTGAAGTTTGTGAGGTATTGAAAATTGAGATTTTGTGGTTAAAATTCGTGGGCTTGGGTTGATAGGGAGTGTTGTAAATGGATTTTGTTGAATTCTTGGATATTTGTCTCTAGAGGGAGAGAGGTTGGGTCGTTAGGGATTTTGTTGGATTTTAGGAATGACTATGGGTGAGGAAAGGTGTACTTTAAGTGCTGATCAGACTAAGGGCGTGTTTGGAGTGGTTGAGTAGTTGTGAGGGTGGGAGGAATGGACTAGAGAGGTGGTATGAGGGTGTAAATAGAAGAGTTTTAGCCGTTTAGGGAGTTTTAAGGCCGATTTAAGATTTTTTACATTTTGAATGCAGCTTATGTATTTTATCTTTCAAATGGTTCACTTTGTAAGGATTTTTCTCAATAAGCTGTTTAATCATTTCTTCAACTCTAGTTTGATCTCCTTTACTTTCTTCATTTTTAAGTTTAGTAATCTTGATCTTTACATTCTTTACTTTCTTCCTATACCAAAATTTATCTTAGAAACTTTAAAATACTGTGGAAGCTTTCATCTCTTTATTTGATATCAAAATATAATTTTTTTAGCTAACAAAGCTAATTTGAATCACCATCAAATATTTCCTTCATACCTTGGAATTGAACAACTACTATTAACAAATTTATTCCTTATACTTGTGGGTATACTCCGCTGATTAGTAGGAGACATCGATAGAGGAGTAGCCCGATGATCTAGATTCAATATAAATGGAACTTACCAAGGCTTGAATACTGAGAAAATCTAGATAAGTTCCTTGTATGTCCATTATACTTGAACCCATAGCCAACCTCTTTGAAATCAGAGTAGTCAAAACTTGACTCTGGTACAAATGGCTGAATGCTGTTCTGAATGTAATTGTTCCTCCTCCCAAAGTGTTTCTTAAATTTCTATTCTTAAAACAGGGAAATACAATTTTAGACAGCCTTTTAGGGTTCTTGAATTGAGATCCTATTCAAAAAGATTTAAATATTTGAGAAGTTTTATTTTGGGGAAGTTAAACGTACGTTTACTGATTCCAGCAAGTTTTGGAGCTCTTTTTAGATATTCTAGATTGTCAATATCTCGGAGCTTGATGTTATCAATAGATCTGTTAGCCTTTACATAGTTATTTTCGCGACTTGTTGGAGTCTATAAATAGTAACTTAGAATGAACAAATATCTGAAAGAGCTAAATTATCAAATCAGATAGACTGTAATATCTTATTCCTTACGTTTATCCCTACTTGGCTTATAAAAAGGTATATCATCAGGAACATAATAGCACTGGCTAATTCTTAGCGAGCTATCTGCCTTCTTTCTTTTGCCCTATAAACTCAAATTAAACCCTAGTCTGTATTAAGGATTCAGAAATTCACTAATTTTAGCTCAAAATTGCACACATATCTCTTGTAAACCAAGTAAGGGTTTGGCCTGAACTCCATTTTTGATAACTATTTTATTTTCAAATAATTCATAAATTTATGGGGTTTTGGGGTTTTGGGGTTTTGGGGTTTTGGGG